TCAGCTCACAAAAATCAAGAAACAAGCGGCACACCTGAATTTGTTCTAGATTACATTTTCCAATAACTTTCAAAGAAAAGGTCTGTAGTTATTTGCGCACAATAGTAAGGTTTGAACATATCTCAGCCACTTCTGCGTGTCCTGATACTGTCATATATATATATATATATATACACATAGCTTTGTTATGTAGGTGGCGGCTCCAATGCTGTCTATGCAGTCTTCCATGCGAGGCAACGGGTACGAGTCAGGGACTGTGACTGCATTTACCCTCCTAAAATCAGTACAAAAACGAGGAGAACCATCTGACTTTGGTGTCAGCAGACATGGAGAGCTCCAAGAGCTATGGCTAGGTATCGCCAAACCATTTTCAAGCAGGAACTGTACCTTTTTTTTCATTAATTCCCTTTTGAGCGGGGGGCACCGGTATGCGTGTCACTTAGGGCGCGCATTACCCACGTCAATGTCGTGCTTTAACACTGCGGTTCTAGATGGTACATCCCCAAACAGACTAGGGTGCGCTTGGATCAGGTTTTTCACGTCATCTTTCTCACCATGGGGAAGATAGGAGAGGTACGTGATCTAAAAGCCACTTAGATATTTCTAGTTTTTCTCCAAAATCTACTGAATAAAACTGCGTTTGTGTGAGAGCCTCTTTGTGAGTCCTTTGATGAGCGCGAAGGTTACTTCATATTGACAAAGCACTTGCTTTGCTTTGTCAATATGTTCACATGTTCAACGTTTGTTATTATAATTTTTTCTAATAATAATAATTGCGTGAAATACTCATAGTTAAGACCCTAGCTGGACTCTAGCTGACCTCAGTTATTCGAGAATAGATAACACATGTTGTATTATAATGTAATCTAATATTTAAAAAAAAACCAAAAAAAAAAACCCCAATAAATACACTGATTATTTCCACCCTGTATTTATTACAGACAGCCTATGAAATTACAAAACTGCTATTGTTTGTTTATATAGTTCATTTAAACGACCAAACACTGCCACACTTCATTATAATTATATCGCTGGTGAGAAAGTTTGACCCATCAGGGGCACCGTAAACTCTCAGCATCACGTGAGCACTCGAGTTTCCTGTTGCTATTGTATTACACTTCCATATTTTTCACCTCAAAGAGCGTCTGTCATGTAAACTACCGCGGTGAGTTCGCTCCTTCTGTGTGATCTGTCCCCACGCACCGAGTCCGTTTAACATCCTGCCTCGTCCTTACAGTCCAGGAGAGCTGCTGATCGCGGGGAAAATGGCCAACAGTGTAGCTTTCCAGAGCAAGTTAACCTCGATCATGGAGATGCTAACTAAAGCAGCCGTGGTGGAAATTAGCAAACTGTGGGAGGACGGCTTCGCATTGGTCCAGGTCGAGCTTCGGAGGAGAGAGATTGAAATCGAGGCTCTGAACAGAAAGTTGTTGTTGATGGAAAAGGAGCGATTAGCGGCTCGGGCTCAGTCTGCAAATAACTCCTCATCATCTTTTTCCAAGAGAGAGCAGCAGAATAAGTTGCTGCCGCCCGCCGGTGATGGTAAGAACAACCGCGGCAGAAACAGGGGATCAATAAACGATATTTGTCTTAAAAGACACAATTTAATACCCCGTGGATGAAAAAGTCCGTTTGCAAACTATTTGTAACACACTGTAATGTTTGTGAATATATGAGAACATGTGTTTGTTTAAGTACAGCGTTTCCAAACAATTATATTCTCTCATATTTAACAATATAACAACTATATTCTCTATACAGCACCTTCTATTTGTAAGTGTGCACAGGAGGAGTTTTAGCACATCTGTATTGTTTAATATTGCAGCTTAAAACAGTGTCAGCTCACAGTAATGTCAACATTGGGTTTAGAAGGAGAGTAGTTTCTTTCTTGCTCCTTGGCACAAACCAGCATGACTTAAGTTTGATGATGAAAAGAAGCCTGATGAATGTTTAGGTAGACATTATGTCCAGCATGTTACCACATGATGTAAAGGCAAAATTAATTTAAACACAGCAAAACTAACCTTTACAAAGAAATAAATGAAAGTTAATACACACACATACACATATACACCCACTTACACTGTTATTTATTGTAAGCCTGTGAGAATAAAAATGTTTTAAGTTTATTTAGACACAGTTGTAATTGATAACAGTGAGCTCCTTCCAAAGGACAGGACCACAGCAACTGAAAGCACCTTCAGCACACTTAGATCTAATTCTGGGAAGTGTTAAAAGATCTGCACCTGCCTGAGAGGTCTAATCGGATTATAAACACTTAGTAAGCCGGAGATGTACAGGAAGGGGGTAGGAATCATTGAGAGCTTTATGAACTAATAGAAGGATTTTAAAGGTAATTCTGTATTGAACTGAGAGCCAATTAAGTGACTTCAGTACAGAGTTATATAGTCAAATTTCCTTGTGCGTTTACGGATTGGCTCCTGCATTCTTAACAAGCTGAAGTCGTCCTAGTGATGATTTGGATAATCCAGCAAACAGAGCATTACAGTAGTATAACCTGCTTTATATAAATGCATGGGCCTATTTCTGAGATTCAGTTTGAGATAGGGATTTTTAACATTTGATGTGTTTTTGAAGCGATAGAAAGCAGTTCTGGTTGGCCTGATTAATATGATTATCAAAACTGAGATCACTGTCCAAAATGAGGCCAAGGTTTCTGACTTTGTCACTGGATCCACCAAAATATTAACTAACAAGACAAGTGGTAAAAGAGGTGTATATCAGCATGGTAACGATCCACAGAACAGAGCCAAAGTTACACACACCGGGTTACTAAAGAAGAAAAGGGTCAAAGTATCAGAAAGAAAAAAATGTGCCTAAAGACTGGCAAAAGATCCAACCTTTTTGAGACACATTACTGCAGTCACATTCAAAATAAACTAATATTTTTAATGAATTGGTAAAATGTCTCAGTTTTACCTGTTGATGTTTTCTAAGTTATGCTGTGAATTAAAAAAATGGTTTATGAGCTTGGGAAATCATTGCAGTCTCTTTATTTGCATTTTACATCGTGTCCCAAAGGTTTTAGAATTGGGTTTGTAGATAACAAACAGGTCTGTGTTCTTTAGATTTACCTAATTTGTCAACAGGCAGAAAATGTTTTAAGTGACTTTTGCCATTTTGTAGGAAAACTTGTCAAATACTTTCTACTGCCATATTTTCCACTGTGATATGATGATTTTCTTAGTGATATGTCATTGTAGTTGGCTTGACTGACCCTGCAGCTAACAGTCATTAGAAGCATTGGTGTATCTGCTTGTTACTTACTCAAGTCAAAAAGTATCCCAGTGTTTAAAGTCACATTTTCAGACAGCGCTGTAATGAAGCAGGTGCATGTTATTTGGGTACCTTTCTTTACAATTCACAGTATTTGCTGCCTCTGTTGCTGAGGCAATTAATTATAAAGTTGACCTGTTTTAAAAAATGACTTTTTAAGGGAACTTTGATTTTCCTTTAACAATTTAAACAATCTGCTGTGTCCTTTCAGGGCCTACGATAGAGTCGGTCCAGACTTTGTCTTCGGATCAGAGCGTGAGCGATAAGGTGGATATTTCACCAAATCAGGGAACGTCATCACCTCCTCAAACAGAAGAGAAACGCAGTGAGCAGCGCAAATCTGACAGCGAGGGCAAAGATGACGAAGACTTAGTAGTCAAACTAGAAGACGAGGATGACGTCCAGATCGTGGAGCAGGTCGTGGACTCGGATCACAGCGTTAACAGTGGAGCAGGTCCCCACGAGATGAATTTGAACCACCAGCCTGCTGAGGTTGTGGAAGAGCAAGAGTCACAGCAGTGGCTGACTGTTTCGGTGGGAGACAGCGACACTGCGGATGACTCGGAGTGCTTTTTCGAAACAAAGCAGTTGTCTCAAAATCTGGACTCCGAAATCTTGCTCATTCAAAATGCCTTGGACATTTTCGATAATTCAGCAGAGGGAGCATACTCGGACAGGTTTATGAGGGACAATGAAACGGTTCAAGGTGCATCAAGTAAATCAAGGGCTCCTGTGACTTTCAGCCAGTCTCAGCCAAGTCAACCTATAGAAGCAATAAATCACTCAGAGAGAGGAATGTCCATTAGATTCCTCTCAGAAAAACAGCAACCACAGACTAAAAACATGTCAACCTTTAACACAGACAACAGACTCTTTCATTTAAATGACCCAGAGTTGCACAAAACTATAGCGGGGCGCCGCATTAGGGAGAAGTGGTACATCTGCCCGTTCTGTGGGAAGAGCTTTGATCGCATCAGCCACCTGGAGATACACCAGCGAATTCACACAGGAGAGAAACCGTACACATGCGACACATGTGGCAAGTGCTTTTCTCAGAGGAGTAACCTTCGCACTCATCAAAGGACTCACAAAGAGGCTCTCACACAGAACGCAGTTTAATTCAGTAGATTTTGAAGAAAAGCTAGAAATATCTAAGTGGCTTTTAGATCTAGATTTATTAACAAATTCTGTTTGTTTTTTGACATTTCTGGAAAAATAATGTAGCAGACTGATTTAACTGTGCCCTCTTTTTGTGAAATAAACAAAATTTTTGACACAGTGTGGCTTTTAAGAACTAAAACAGGAACATATGAACTGCCAGAAAAGAGATTTTTAAACACACATATGACATACTAGGAACATATGACCTCTTAAAACATTCATTTTAAGCTAGACAGGAAAAATCCAGCATCTAATTGCTTAGTTTTCCTCGACCTGATAGATGGTGAGGAAAAGTCACAAGACATTTGATAAATTAGTTTACCACAGAGCACTAAGGATGTAAAAAAGGACAAAGAATTTGTTGGTCACCACATGACAGCCTAACTTGTGTCTTTGTGATGCTGCCTAAGCAGAAAATTAAGGTAAACTAAGATTTCAATGTTTTGTTTGTAGAGGGAAAAAAACATGTTCAGCCTTGCACTGCCGCTTAGATGTTCATGGATCAGTCGAGTTAAAATTTTCCTATTCTGAAGAATCTTTAACTTCCAAAACATTCAGGTACTTCCTCCAGAGTTTTTCCACAGGATCCGGAGCCAATCATGGTAGGAGATGTAGACTTTGTAGCCCTAGACTTAAGCCCACCCTGTACACACTTTGCTTGTTCACTTGGAGGGTCAGAAACATTGAGTGTTGTTCTAAACCTAGCATTAGGTTTTAAATAATGCCATTTAATGTAACATCAGCCTTAATTCAGGTTTATCAACTCCATTCCTTACAGTAAAACATCATTTTTGTCTGGTATGTGGAGGGACAGGTACTTTCAGCTGCTCACTTACTTCCCAAGGGGTCATCACAGTGCAAGTTTGAACTGGCACCAAGTTTACAACTGCCATCCCAACAAAAGACTCCCTGGCACAAAGAGTACACGAGCTTGTAATTCTCAGAGGCTGGGTTTGTGTGTCCTCTTGGGCTCAAAACAAATGTAAGAATTTAACATATACCACAAATTTTATATATCCTTAGGAACAAACTCCACATGCTTACAGATATGATTTCTATATATTTTTTTAAAAGCCTTATGTTACAACCCCCTCTGCTAGGCGACAGGAGGGGAGAAACATACACAAGCCCTCTCACGAAATCTGAGTAAATAAGGGGTTTTATTACAAACATTAAACTGAAAACCGACGGGGCTGTTCAACAGACCACCGGGGAAACAATTAATACACAATGAAATAACAGGCAAGAGTAAAAGCTTAGGGTTAACTAAGGCAAGCCAGCATCACAAAACTCTAATGAAACTAAGTTTAGCTGTATACCAGGTTTAAACAAAGAGCAACACAGCAAACGGGTTTAACAAACAAGCTTCCCATGCAAAGCAGACGAGGAGGCCACTGCATGTTCACTTCAGAGCAGCAGTTCCCCATAGTGTGACAGCTCTTCAGCCTTTTATACTCCCAGGTGCAGACAATCAGCCAGTCAATTGGTCATGTGATCTCCAGGCAGCCAATCGTCTGCGAGGTCTGGCACACTGTGATCTGCATAAAAGAAGGCTGGCACAGGACTCCCAGCAGCCAGTCATCCACAATCCTGGCACACTTAGATTTGCATGAACACAAAAGGGCAGTCTCACTCCCTCCAAGGCCCAGGGCCGTAACACCTTTGTTATAGATTTTTTTTTTTTTTTTTAATAAAAGTGGAAGGAGAATGAGAATTTTGAAAATCCTTGAGTGAAACCTCGATGAAATAAGTGCATTTTAGAAGTGATTGGCATCATCTTAATTCCAATCTGTGTAAAACATCAAAGACGCTGAGTGTAAGTTTCATCACAGAGATAAGGGCATCACAGAGTTTTCAACTGTATTTGTACCCAATACTTTAATTAAGACCCTTCAACAACCTCAAGAGTGACTACATGTACACTCACAATCATCAAGCAGTAGGGGGCAGTTTCTAACTGGGCTATAGTTGTAGGATGACAGCCAAAGGTTTGCAGTAGTTGTCCATGTCAGCTCCAACCTTGGAGAGCAGCTGCATCCTAGTGAAATGATAATGTTTGGTTATGTCGCACTTATCAATACCAATATTAAAAAAGTAGTCTTACAATATAAATTAGTCAGCCGTGGAGCCCTAAAAGCAGACACTTGATCACCTTTTTGCTTTAAGCATGAGGTGGGAACAGTTAACAGGTTTCTGCCTGAGCATCTCAGGCTGCACACTGGTCGGTACAGCAAACAGCTGTTCACATATATCAGGGCTCGGGATTTCCAGGCCTGAAGGGCCGGTGTTCTGCAGGTTTTAGATATCACCCTGGGTCAACACACCTGAATAAAATGATTACTACATTACCAGGCCTCTGGAAAACTTAAAGACATGTTGAGGAGGTAATTTAGTCATTTAAATCAGCTGTATTGGAACAAGGACACATCTAAAACCTGCAGAACACTGGCCCTTCAGGCCTGAGTTCCCCACCTCTTACGTATATAATCTCGGTCCAAGCCTAAATGCCTTTACAAGTAATAAGTAAGTAATCTTAAAATCAATTGTAAAAGTATTGGACATCCAGCATCTGATTGCTTGGGTTTTCTCTGTAATACTGTAGGGTCTGTACCTTAAAATATAAAGCAGCTTGTGGCGACTGTTGAATTGAATTGTAGAAGGGTAAACTGGGATAATATGTTCACATGTGCAAAATGCAGCTGTAAGACTGCATTTTGCACAATCTGAAGTCTATTTATTGTTATTTCTGATTGGTACCTTTGAAAAACCATTACCAAAACCCAACTGAGAGGAAATAAAAGCATGAATAATAGCCTGAGAGTCAGTAAAACTCAGCATTCAGTTTATCCTTGGGATATTCCTAAGGTAGCATATATGATGGGGGGAAATAGATAGGTCCCAGAATGGATCTCTGAGAAACTCCACAACTTATTATAGAGTAAGGAGAGCCGTTTGTCACCAATGAAAACAAAAATTTTTGGATTGTCAGATATGACCTAAACCATCTGACCTTTACCAACCCAGACCAAAGTTTTATGGTCTACTGTGTCAAATGCACTTAAATCAAGCAGCACATGAACAAAATATTAATCAGTATCCGCAGTTCTTAGTATCATTTGTCACCATAATAAGTGCAGTCTCAGTACTTTCATGTTTATTCAATCTTCTTAGTGCATTTTTGTCTAAGACTCCCTCTACAGGTCCAGTGTTATTTCCGGTACAAAATTAATGCCAAATACAGTGGCCTGTACTAGTTCTAGGATCTTTTTTACAGTAGTAATGCCATGGGTTATTTCTTAGCCGAATGCAGTGACCTGCTAGTCCCTAATAACCTCATAACACAGTTAGGGCATCTGGCCAAGCAAAGATCTGTCCTGTAAACACTTGCTAAAACTACAACTATGTTTTAATTTGCATCAAAGTTAATTGTCTTCCATGCCTTTATCAGTAAAATATGAAGGTAGTATCAGTGTTTGAATCTATAAATAATAACAAGAAAAACAATATTTCTCAAAAATCCTAACTTTTTCTTCAATAGAAAATTTATTTAAATTCATCAACCTATAACAGAATAACCCATAAAGTTTCTGCTTTTTATGAAGTTCCCGAAGTAGCTTTAATGTCCCAGTTTTTTT